AAAATGTGACGTATATGCACAATAGAAAATTATTCAGCCTGAAAAAGGAATGTCATTCTTCGAAAGGTACAAACTCCCAGTTATAAAATAAATAAGTACTTGGGATGAAATGTACAAAGTGATAAATTGACACTGCTATACATTGCATATGAAAATTGTTTAAAGTAAATCCTAAAAGTTCTCATCACAAGGGAAAAACTACCATTTTTCTGTGTGTTTTTTTTAATGGAAGTATCCAGTGTGTAGCTTTTATGTATTTATTTAGCTGACCTGTGAGATCTCAGTTTTCTGACGAGAGATCAAATGTGGGCCTCCTTCGGTGGAAGTGCAGGGTCCTAACCACTGGACCACCAGGGAATTCCCCTCATTTTCTATTTTTTTTTAATGTTGTATCTGTATGTGACAATGAATGGGCACTAAATTCACAGTGATAATCATTTCATGATATGGTATATGTAAGTCAAGTCATTATACTGCACACCTTAAATTTATACAGTGATGCATGTTGATTACATCTCAATGAAACTAAAAGGGAAAAAAATGAATAAAGTTTTATACATGCTGTAACATGGATGAACCTTGAAAATATTATGTTAAGTCAAATAAGCCAGACATAAAAAGACAAGTATTGTATGAGTCCACACATATGAGGTAACTATAATACAAATTCACAGGGACAGAAAGTAGAAGAGAGAGAAGGGATGGGGGGGCGGTTCTTCTTAAATGGGTGTAGAGTTTCTGTTCTGGATGATGCAAATGGACAGCAGTGATGGTTGCACAGCACTGTGAATGCACTTAATGCCACTGAACTGTATATTTATAAATGGCTTATAAACGGCTAAAATAGTGAACTTTATATCATGTGTGGTTTACCACAATAACAATTTTTTAAAGCAGATTGGCAATTATTTCAAGTAAAGAGAAAGGGACTTGAAGCTGATAAGAGACATACTGGTTGGGAGAGAATATTGGGAGACGTAACCTGTACAGACAAAAGGACCAGGGCCATGTTGGCTTCAAAATCCATGGTTATGGAACTACCCTGGTGGTCCAGAGGCTAAGACTCTGCGCTCCCAGTACAGGAGGCCTGGGTTCGAGCCCCAGTCAGGGAACTAGATCCTGCATGCCACAACTAAGAACCCATATAGCCAAATAGACAAATTAAATAAATATATTTTTTTAAAACCCATGGTTAGGAGTTAGGATCTTACTCTAGGTGCAGTGGCCATTTCACTGTTTTTAGAGGGGTTTTAAGCAAGAAAAAGCAAACATAGAAGTGGATTCTTAAGGGACTATTCAGAACCAGACACCCTCTGGTGAGAACTCCCAGCCTGAAAGGAAGATAAGGCCCCAGAAAGGATGGGAACAAACCTGGATGGTCCCAGAACCCTCAGCTGGTCCACCTACACTGCTAACCACTGTACTAGATGCTTGCACAGGAAGCAAACTACCCAAACGGAAGAATGCAAATGCCAACTCTCCCTTGACCCACCCCATCTCTCCATCTGAACTCTAAGTTTTTACCCATTTTTCTTACATGATACGTAAGAATTCACTCTTATAGAACAACTTGTGGTGTACCTGGTTTTTCTCCTTCCAGATTCCAGACTTGCCTAGTCACAGGATCTATCAAGTGTAGTATCAGATCTGGACTCTGGATTTGTTGCTAATGATTAAATTATTTAACTAATGGTTAAAGTGACTCTCTTATCTTGCTCCTACTGATGCTGAAGCTGAAGCTCCAATACCTTGGCCACCTGATGTGAAGAGCCGACTCACTGGAAAAGACCCTGATGCTGGGAAAGATGGAGGTCAAGAGGAGAAGGGGGCAATAGAGGATGAAGTGGTTGGATAGCATCACCAACTCGATGGACATGAATTCAGCAAACTCTGGGAGACAGTGAAAGACAGGGAAGCCTGGCATGCTGCAGTCCACGGGGTGGCAAAGAGTCTGACACAACTTAGAAATTGAACAACAACAAAGGAAAGGCAAGCTAGAGATTGTCTTCTGCAGAGAAATGCTGGAAATGTGTGATGGATGTTTCCACAAATTCTTACCTATTTTGGAAGATGTCATCTTCCCTTCCATCATCCACTTCGGAGGCCTGCTTGAACGGGGAACTTATGTCACGGCCCCCCCCCATCCCCACTCACCAAAGCAGCAGCAGCGCCTCCAGTAATTGGGAGAAGGCAAACAAGAGGATCTGCCAACTGTACCTTCTCTGGGGGAGGAAGCCCGTCATCAGACTCACACGCTGCCATCTGGACCACTCAGCTGCTCCTTTCCTAAGTACCTGCTCTTCAGCAACCAAGTTCACAGTTTGCTAGTGTTTTCACTGGGATTCCCAACTCCTGTGGCTTCATAACGCTCAACTAAAAATACAGCGCCGGCTGGCACAGGGCCCAGATTCTGGAGCCCCAAAGAAGACTGAAGAAGGATAAATACGAAGGAGTAAGCTCAGAGAGAAGGCACAGCAGGGAGAAGCCAGTGGCCATGTGGTGACACGGGGGAGGGTGTCAGCAAGCACAGGGAACAGTTATTACCGGAGGGAAGAAAGAAATGAAGACCTGCTAAGTGACAGTTCTTTGGGGAATGGAACAAGCACTCTTCTCTAAATTAACTTTCTACATTCTCAGTTCAATAATCTGGATGACGACTGATTTTCAAAGTAACACGAATTGTCTTATATGAAGCTTCTTACATAAATCTCTAGGGAGTTCTTTGACATGCATTATGGCACATTTTAGTCTCAGTTCTGTATTTTAATTGATCCACAGAAAGACAATGTGAGAACTAAAATGTACTTTTAGAATTTCTTAACCCCCAGGATGACAATTATCAGAATGCGATTAGAGCCTCAATCACAAATCAGAATATCTAAAGGATTAACTTAGGCAAGCCCAGCACTGAGGTTTCTCAGCTACACAATAAATTCCATGAAAATTACTTTATTTTCTTTTTTCCAAAATGGAAACAACTTTGTTAATTTGTCTAATACTTACGTAAAAAAAAGAAATTCCTTCAATAACATTTTCAGGGTTTGTTTTGTTTTGGCTGCACCCTATGGCATGCAGGGGGGCGTCGCTGGTGACTCAGACAGTAAAGAATTCGCCTGCAATGTGGGAGACCTGGGTTTGATCCCTGGGTGGGGAAGATCCTCTGGAGGACGGCATGGCAACCCACCCCAGTATTCTTGCCTGGAGAATCCCCAAGGATAGAGAAGGCTGGAGGGCTACAGTCCATGGGGTTGCAAAGAGTCAGACAGGACTGAGCGACTAAACACGGCAGCATGGAATATAGGAGCCTGGTTTGCCCACCAGGGACCGAACCCGCGCCCCCTGCAGAGGAAGTGCAGAGTCCTGACCACTGGATCACCAGGGGATTCCTCTGCACCGTTAATGTTTTAATGTATGCTTTCTGAATTTTTTCATAAACATGTATATACGAAATTTTTCAAAATTAAGGGCATTAATATGTGAATAATATTCACATAGTTTGTAATTCAGTAACATACTGTTAATAGACCTATGTCAGTAAACATTCTTTTCCACATATTAGCTACAGAATATTCCATTTCATGTATATGCTACGATTTGACTAATTTCTTTATCAATAGACATTTGAAACTGTCTCCAATATTTCAGTATTATAAACACATATAACTACAAAAAGTAAGTGAGTGTAAAGTAAGTGAGTGCCTTACCCTTCTCTCTGCAAATAAATTTGAAATTGATGACTTTTTTAAGAACATGTAAATTACCAAAATTAATATCAAAAAGAATAGGAAACTTAAACAGGACCAGTAATTATTCATTTTTTTTAATATCCCAAGGACCACCTCTTCCCAAGTGCCACATCCAGATGGTTTTCCAGGTGAAATGTTCAAAAATCCTGTTTATTGTATTCCAGAGAATACAGAAAGAAGGAAATGCTTTCACTTTATTTTCTCAAAATTTAGAATAACATTAATAACTAGATCACCAAAGATAACATAGAAAAGAAAATAGACCAATCTTACTTATGAATATCAATGCAAGACTTTTAGACACAATTTAGCAAATATAATCCAGACCGAAAGAATAAAACACCAAAGACCCAGAAGAATCCATTCCAGCAACTAGTATTGATCATTATTAGGAAATTTAATAATATAAACCAACATATAACTGGTTAAAAGGAGAAAAGTATACATGATCACCTTAATACATGCTTAAAAGACATGATAAAAATAATACAAATCCCAGTAAAATGGAAATAGATGAATACTTCCTTAATATCATGTATATATAGCCAAAAACTGGTAAAATGATGAAAAGACAAAAGTAGAAAACAAACCAGAAGCCAACACCATCACAAAAACAGGAGTATACAAGAATGATTAAGCATACAACCTCAGAAACCAGAATTTTGAGTTCAAATTTCAGCTCTATCACTAGTTCGATAACCTCAAACAAATTACTTAACTTTTCCATGCCTCAGTTTTTCCATCTGTAAAGTGCAATAATAATAGTACACATTCATAGGGATATTGTAAGGACTGAATGAGTGCTCAGAACAGAACTCAGCACATAGCACTCTATCACTGTACATAAAAACATAACTAGATGTCAGTAACATCAGAAAGCCAAAATCATGAATGATAATGAAATACTCAAACCACTTGCATAAGTCAGGAATAAGGAAATAAGGAATAAGGAAAGAAAATTCAATGTCAATACTACTAATTAAACTTTTGCTCTGAACACACTAGCTGAGTGGTCAGTTAAGAGAAAAACATGACTATTATAAACATGGCAAAATGAAAGATGGAATTATCATCATTAGCAGACAATATTATTCCTTTATATACCAAGAGAATCAACTGAAAACCTAGCAGAAACAATGGGAAATTATTGGATTTATTTCATTCATTCATTATCCCAAAAAGAGATTTAGAGAGAAATAGAAAAACAGTCTCCAGATGCTATAAGCTGGGAAGCTGGACCTTTGAAAAACTCACCTTGGCAATTTAATTTGAGGGACTCCCACGTGCCCACGGCTGTGCAGCTTGAAACTGTATCTTCTGAGTCACTGAAGAATCCTTCTTTGCAAGCATAATGAACCTGACTGCCAAGCCTAGAGGTATAATTTCCTATGATATAGCCACCTGGAATCTCAGGAGGAGTCCCACAGTCTATTTCTGAAAATAAATTAATGTCAAACTTGTTACTATATAAACGTGTATTTTCAAAATACATAATCTCTTTCCATCTTTACTTTATACTTTCTTCCCTCATACATACACACTCGAGTCATATTTTAAAATAGACTGACTCATTTCTACAAGACTTCCGGGCACGTTTCCAATGAGTGTCTCTATTCAATCGTCTGGTCTTCCACAAGTAACAGCACAAAGCTGAAAGGATCTGGCAATCAACTCTCACTAATTTACACTAACTAAAGATAAGCCTATGGGCTTCCCTGGCGACTCAGGGGTAAAGAACACACCAGCCAATGCAGGAGACGTGAGTTCGATCCCTGAGTCGGGAAGATCCCCTGAAGAAGGAAATGGTAACCCACTCCAGTATTCTTGTCTAGGAAATGCCAAGGACAGGAGACTGGTGGGCTAGTCAACGGATTCGCAAAAAAGTCAGACATGACTTAGGGACTAAACAACAACGAAGATAAGCCTAGCCCAACAAAGTATTAATTTCATTTCGCACAATATCCTAAAATATATAAGCCTTTATGACTTCCTTGGTAACTTTTGAGATGCTGGTCCTTACCAGATTAGCTGTGTTTACTATCTAATATAATGGTTAATATCTGGACATCTATTACCTACAAAAATCCCTAAAGTTTTTTTAACTTTAATATAGCCCACTCTATAATGACTGTTATTGAATTTTATAGGTTATAAATATGCAAAACACAGATTCCCACCAACATCCTCAACACAGACCCATAGACTTAGGCTCAGAGCAGGAGAACAACATCAGAGCAGGAGAGTCATCAACAGACTCTCACCTTCGGAGGCCGCATTCTTTGGCAGGAACCCACCTGTGCATGACGTGGCATCTCTGGTCGGATGGAAAGGCTCAGGTCCACCTTTTGGCAAGTATCCATCCATACAGTAGCATTCATAGCTCCCACGAGTGTTCACACACCGTCCTCCATGCCTGCACCGGCTGGAAACCTCACACTCATCTATGTCTTGAGACCCATACAAGAAGGGAGAGCAAACCAGGAAAAGGAGAAAAGGGTTGAACATTGTGACAGCCATTTCTTCTTTGTGGTGGGGGATTTAACTTTTTATTTTGTATTGGGGTAAAGCCAATTATCAGTGTTGCGACAGTTTCAGGTGAGCAGAGAAGGGACTTTCCCATACATTATACTTGTATCCATTCTCCCTCAAGCTCCCCTCCCATCCAGGCTGCCACATAACACCGAGCAGAGTCCCCTGCATTACATGGTAGGCCCTTGCTGGTTATCCATTTTAAAAACAGCAGTGTGTACATGTCCAACCCAAACTCCCAAACTATCCCTTTCCCTACCCCCCAGCAACCATAAGATTATTCTCAGTTTGTGAGTCTGTTTCGTAAGTTCATTTATATCATTTTTTTTTAGATTTCACATATACAGGATGTTGTATGATATTTCTCCTTTTCTGTCTGACTTACTTCACTCAGTGTGACAATCTCTAGGTCTACCCATGTTGCTGCAAACGGCATTATTTTGTTCTTTTTAATGACTAAGTAATATTCCATTGTATATATGTGGCATATCTTCTTTATCCATTCTTCCTGACTTTTCACTTTTCACACTCTCCATCTACACGTATAAGTAGATGCATTTGTTTGTAACTGTATCACAAATTTGTTGTATTCCTTAAGAGCTCTTCTCCTGTGTCCTTCATATCATAGGCACCAAGAAGTGCTCAATAAATATTTGTCAATGTGTTCTGAAAAGTTATAAAAGCCAACAACTATTACCAACTCTCTTGACAACCCAACAGAATGAACCCAAAGAAGTATGCTAAAAAATTCAATTACTATAAAATAAGGCTAGCATTAACTTCATGTTAAAATATCTGAAGAACTCCTAATACAAAACAGCTTAGACCAGAGTGAAAAATGTTTCAGGAGCATAAGGCAAGAAGAAAAGAAGCTACTTAGAAGAGTCTCACTAATTTTACCAAGATCAAAAGAGCTTAAAGCAGCCTTCAAGAAGGATAAGACATGCTTCTTAACAGACTTTTCCCTTTGACTGAAGATTGTCAGTGGTAGCAGGTGCAGGAGTGAAAACCACACAATCATTCAGAGGCTGAAAAAAAGAAATCTTTCTGCAAGTTAGCAGTTTTCCCCCTCAGACTTGGCCTAGTGAACAAAATTTAAAGCTTTAGAAACTCCATCAGAGCCACAGACACACCAATTTCACTTAGAGAAAGAAAAGTACCTTAAGTAAAAGGGGACTTTTTCCAGGACATTTGCAAGAACTATCAGCGGGACAGAGGACAGGAGGAACAGTGTGACTGAAGAAAGTCGGGTTGTTCCCAGACTCTGGGATTTCAAAGCCCTGTAATTTTGGAAGAACTGATATTATTGTTGATGTTGTTGTTGTTGTTCAACTGCTAAGTTCTGTCCAACTCTTTGCAACCCCATGGACTGCCAGGCTCCTCTGTCTTCCACTATCTCTCAGAGTTTGCTCAAATTCATGTTTGTTGAGGCAATGATGCTATCTAATCATCTCATCCTCCATTGTCTCCTTCTCTTTTTACCTTCAGTCTTTCCCATCATCAGGGTCTTTTCCAATGAGTCAGCTTTTTGCATCTGGTGGCCAAAGTATTGGAACATCAGCTTCAGCATCAGTACTTCCAATGAATATTCAGGGTTGATTTCCTTTAGAGTTTACTGGCTTGATCTCCTTGTAGTCCAAGGAACTCTCAAGAGTCTTCTCCAGCACCACAATTCAAAAGCATCAATTCTTTAGCACTCAGCCTTTTTTATGGTCCAACTCCCACATCCATATGTGAACTACTTGAAAAACCATAGCTTTGATTAGACGGACCTTTGTCGGCCAAGCGACATCTCTGCTTTTTAATATATTGTCTAGGTTTGTCATAGCTTTTCTTCCCAGGAGTAAAATTCTTTTAATTTCATGATTGCAGTCACTGTATGCAATAATTTGGGAGCCCAAGAAAATAAAATCTGTCACTGCTTCCACTTTTTCCCCTTCTATTTACCATGAAGTGATGGGACCAGCTACCAAGATCTTAATTTTTGAATACTGAATTTTAAGCCAGCTTTTTCACTTTCCTCTTTCACCCTCATCAAGTGGCTCTTTAATCCCTCTTCACTTTGTGCCATTAGAGTTGGTATCATCTGCATATCTAATGTTGTTGATAATTCTCCTGGCAATCTTGATTCCAGCTTGTGCTTCATCCAGCCTGGCATTTTGCATGATGTACTCTGCATAGTAGTTAAACAGCAGGGTGACAATATACAGCCTTGTCATACTCCTTTCCCAATTTTGAAGCAGTCAGTTGTTCCATGTAAGGTTTTAACTGTTGCTTCTTGACCCACATACAAGTTTCTCAGAAGACAGGTAAAGTGGTCTGGTAGTCCCATCTCTTTAAGAATTTTCCACAGTTTGTTGTGTTCCACACAGTCAAAGGCTTTAGTGTAGTCAATGAAGAAAAAGTAGATATTTTTCTGGAATTCCCTTGCTTTCTCCATGATCCAACAAATGTTGGCAATCTGTCTCTGGTTCCTCTGCCTTTTCGAAACCAACTTGTACATCTGGAAATTCTCAGTTCACTGCTGAAGCCTCACTTGAAGGATTTTGAGTATATCCTTGCTAACAAATGAAATAAATGCAACTGTAGTTTGAACATTCTTTGGCATTAACCTTCCTTGGGACTGGAATGAAAACTGACTTTTCCAGTCCTGTGGACACTGCTGAGTTTTCCAAATTTGTTGGCATACTGAGTGCAGCACTTTCACAGCATCATCTTTTAGGATCTGAAATAGCTCATCTGGAATTCTGTCCCCTCCACTAGCTTTGTTCATAGTGATGCTTCATAAGGCCCACTTGACTTGACACTCCAGGATGTCTGGGTCTAGGTGAGTGACCACAGCATCATGGTTATCCAGGTCACAGAGATCTTTTTTGTGTAGCTCTTCTGTGTTCTTACCACCTCTTCTTAATCTTACCGTTTTTGTCCTTTAGCATCACCATCCTTGTGCGAAATGTTCCCTTGCTATCTCCAATTTTCTTGAAGAGATCTCTAGTCTTTCCCATTCTATTGTTTTCCTCTATTTCTTTGCATAGTTCCCTTAAGAAGGCCTTCTTATCTCTCCTTGCTGTTCTCTGGAACTCTGAATTCAGTTGGGTATTATCTTCCCCTTTTTCCTTTTCCTTTTGCTTCTCTTCTCTCTTCGGCTATTTATAAAACCTCCTCAGACAACCACTTTGCCTTCTTGCATTTTTTTCCTTTGACCAATATTCTAATTTTCCAGTAAAGTCTTTTTTTCCAAAAAAAAACTATCACTTCATTTAAAAAATTTTAAAAAGAACATTTTAACAATGCCCCCACCCAAAAGGAAGAATATAATCTCAGAATCCTTTCATATTTTTGTTTAGTGATTTTATTAAAATTCACTATATTCTTTACACTGGTTTGTTTGGTTTGGGGTTTTGGACCAAGGAATACCTACCTCATTGCGAGCTGACTGTTGTCTGGGGAACAGTAATTCATTCAGTTGCTGGAGGAGACCCAAGGGACCAATTCTGATCAACCCACATCTTTGGGAAACTCTGTGGGAAATGGGCTCCAGAGATGGCTGTCAACAATCCCTCCCCTTCCTTTCTTGCCTCTCCTCCCATCAAAAATGGAATCCATTTCCCCTCCTCTTGAGCTGGTCTTGAGACTTGCTTTGTCCAACAGAACTTGGCAGAAGCACCATGGTGCCTGCTGTGGACATCACCTTAGACGATGCCTGGCAGCTTCCTCTCTCCCTCAGCTGGAATCCAGTGTCCATGCTACAGAAAACCCAGGCTGGGGTGCTTGGGAGACAGGCCAGTCAGAGAGGCCCTAAAGATGAGATGCCATGTGAAGGAGGACTAAGGTGGCCTGCTTGACAGCTAGAATCAAGGTCCAGGTGGCGATAGTGGTAAAGAATCCACCTACCAACACAGGAGACACAAAAGACATGGATGGAGCTCCTGGAGTAGGAAATGGCAACACACTCCAGTGTTCGTGTCTGGAAAATTCCATGCTATGGTCAGAGGAACCTGGAGAGCTACAGTCCATAGGGTCGCAAAGAGTCGGACACAACTGAACACACACATACACACACCAAGGCCCAAGGCGTTTGTGAGAGAGGTCTTCTTTCATCAGCCCAGCCTAGTCCAGCCACCAGTTGAATATGTGCACACAAGTGACAAAACCACCTAGCCACAGAATTGCAACAAATAATAAATTGTTACATATATATATATATACATATATACATATGTACACATATATACATGTTACACATATACATATATGCATGTGTATATACATATACATACATACATATGTTACATATATACATATATAAATTTAAACCACTAAATTTGGGGGGAGTTGTGGGGTGGAAGGAGTAGAGTTACTCAGTAAGAAATAACCAAGACATTCCTGACATAATAAGAGATGCTGAAACCCAAATATGGTTAAGAAGATACTGTATTAGTGAAAAAGGGAATTTCTGAGAGAAAAAAAAAAGAAGTCTTGGAAATTGAAAACAAAATACGAATGCCAAAAATAAAAGCTCAATAGAGGCATTGAAAACAAATTCACAAATTTCAACTCAAGGAATTCTCCAAAACACATAGAAAGATTAATTATCTAAGACAGAAACTATGGGACAAAAATATAATGTGAGGACAGACCCAAAACATGCAATATCTATTTAAAAGGAATTATAGAAGAAAATGGAGTAAATATATAAAAAATTAATATCAAAACAAAAACTGCTCCAGTTTTGTATTTAAATAAAAATAGCCTTTTAAGGTGACAGGCATGAATGTTGAAAAATGAGTCATTCTGGGTTTCAAGGAAGAAGAGAAAAATCTATAAACCTCCTGAGAGAAGGGAATAGTAATTTATGAGGAAAAGAGAAGCAATCTGACCCAGGACTTCTTGTCTGAAACACTAAATGCCAGATAGC